TCACGTTTTCCCAATATCCGGTATTTTAATGATTCTAGAGGCATTATAGACCGAAATTACTTCAAATTTCGTATTTGAAGTTCGCAATGGGTAGAAAGACAAAAATTTGTGTATGCAGGCCCAAGTTTTCGTATAGCCCCTATATAACGATACCTCTAGATATTCGGTATTTTGATGATTTTAGCGACATTGTTTAGGGAAATTGTTTCAAATTTCGTATTTCAAGATTTTAGAGGTGCTACAAGCTATGACAAAAAATGGCATATGGAGGCCCATGTCTTCATATAACGGCACCCCCCAATATTCGGTATTTTCATGGTATTAGAGACATTATTCACCGGAATTGTTTCAAATTTCGTATTTGAAGTTCAGAATCGGTACTACAGCTTATGATGATCCGTATAACCCCAAATAACGGTTTTTAAAGTTCCATCCAAATGGTGGAATGTTTTAAAAGTTCGGCCCGGCCGAACTTAGCTGATTTTTACTTCTAAGTATTTTGATTTTATTTACCTGATGCATGGTAATGCAGTTTTGTGGATCCATGGATAATTTTTCCAACGCCATTGCCGTAGTGCGATGTACCTCGGGGTCATCGCTTGTCATATAGGAAACAATTGGTGTAACTGTACGAAGACGTCCCAACTCTTGGGTATTATTGCCATATGTTGCGCAGCTTGCAATGGCAGCAGCCAGATTTTTCCTCAATAGATCCTCGGTGGTATTGACTAGATATGGAAGATATGGAAATTATATTGCTCAATTATTACATTGATAGATAACAAAAAAATTTTAACAATAAATCCTGATCCTTTCATCCTCCTTTCAGAAAATCCTATAAATTTAACTATTGGCCTTAACTAAAGCCAAAAAACATAGAAAGACATTCCGATGTTTTTTGGCTGTAATTAAGACATTAGGGGCCAATCGTAAAATTTATAGCATATTCTGATAGGAGAATTACTTTTGCGCCACCTGTTATGTTGGTACTAAAAACGACCTACCCAATTCCGCCAATTTATAAATCACTTTCAAATCAGTTAATATGGCCAAGTTGGTACTATCCTTGGCAATGGTGGCAATGGCAGCACACACGGCCGACAATACTAAAATATCCTTCGATCTCAAAAGACCCACAACCAGTTCCATAGCTCCCACCAAACTTCGTACCAATTCCCCCGACTCTCGAGCATTCTCCACACATGGACATATGGCATATGCCGCATAGGCTTGCACCCTAGGATTGGTATTTTTCAGCAGTGACCAAATAAGACGCACTGCATCCAAGTCCTCCAATATACGCATGCTCTCGGCATCTTCGGCGCATTCTTTCAAGGCTTTGGCTAAATTTTCCAGCAATGGAGCATGCGAGGAATTCAGAAGTGACACCAGTGATGGCAAGCCATTGGCATTCCGTAGGACATCACGATTATGTTGAAATCGTACACATTCGGCTATGGCGCCAACAACATTTGTCAGCACCTCATCGGATTCATCATTGAGCAATGTCACCAAATGGTTGACCGTACGTAACTGATCGAATTTCATGACATTTGCATCGGATACGGCACACATCCAAATAGCACCTGTGGCACCAATCAACAGCGGTTTGTTCTCCCTAATGGTTTTATCTTTAACTATGGCCACCAAGGGTTCCAAACCACCAGCTTCTTTTACCAAATCTCTAGTTGCCTGGTCGAAAGCACACTTATAGATGGCAGTGCTGCCTTCCATTTTCAAATCCAAACTGGCCGAGTTTAAATGATTGACAATATCCGCTACCATGTTTTCCGTTCTTATTGCCAATTGAAATTTGGGCTAAGAAATAACAGCGAATGATTTTCATTTCAAATAAATGTTTTGGCAATGACACCATATCTACCTGAGATGCACATTTTTGAATTGTTCCCATAATGGGTATGACCACATCGATGTGACAGGATTTCAGTAGACGAGCCATTAAAGGGACAATTCCACTTTTGCGCATTATCTCCTTGTTGTGTCGTGAATCAGACAAAGACCACAGGGCTCTGGCTCCGGCCCTGGCCATATTTAAGAGTTCAAGTTCTTCAAAGTTAAGATCTTCGCGTGGTGTCTGTAAAATACTAAAAAAAGTAGAACATAAGTAGCAGATGGTCGAGTACAATTTAAAGAAAAAATGTGAGAATATGTATATCGTTAAACTTACTGCAGTTTGATATCCAATAAATCCACCAGCTTTGGAATGCCACCACAAACACGAACATATTTCCTCGCCAAACGCACCTTTGCTACATTAGCCAGGGTTTCCGCAGCCACTGTTTTTAAGTTATTCAACGATGAATTCAAGATATCTATAATCAGCGGAATGCCATCCAAGTCCACAATGGTCTTTCGAATATCAATATTCAATGAAATATCAGCCAATACAGTCAGGGCACCCAGACGGCACTTGTCATCATTACATTCCAATATATTCACCAATACATCCAAACCGCCAATGTCCTGAATGGCAAATTGATTAATTTGCGTTGTCAAGTCATAGTCCTGAAGGCAGCACAAAGACACAATGGTGGCCGTTTGATTGCCAGCCTTTATGTACTTCACCAATTTCTGAATGTTATAATAATCGGCTGGTACTTCCGATGAACGGGCCACATCCTTCCAACGTTCTTCTTCGTCGGTCGATGATTCCACTTCAGTGGATTCCGAATCGGGCGCATAAACAGCTTGCTTAATGTTCATTTGACGGTCGGGACAACTGCCACAATTCTTGGCATTATTTTGTGTGCGCCTGGAGCGATGAGCTTTCGTGGTCGCATTTTTAATATTTTTCTGCGATTTTTTATCCTTAGCACTGTCCATGGGTGAATTTGTAAAGAGGGGATCGAATGTTACCAACGAAGTCAACCGTTTTCAATGGATTCCACAAAATGTATGAAATATGTTTTAGTACTAAAATCAAATTGGAATAAACAAACCATGTTACCATATCAACATTTTATGCCACATAAATATGGAGAAGCCATCAAGGGGGTGTATCCATGGGGGAATAACAAAACTCACAATCCATACCAGGTACATAGGCCAATAGAACTCCTCTAAATATTTATTTAACATGCTACATCGATTAACGGGAAATGTTGGGTTCATACTGTCCCGTCACTCTTTACAAACTATTTCCATAGATTTTTTATAAGAGACCGGTTTTATAAAACTGGAGCTCCGATTGTATTCGTCAAAATTTTTCATTTTCCGCAAAAGAAAAAAAATTAACAAAAGCATTTGGATTCAAATGTGTTCCACTTTGAACTACAAACTGCAGTAAGATCGGTAGGAGAATGCAGTTATAGTTTTCAAAAAGCCATACAATGGCTGGAGCCGTTATATGGGGGCCATACCAAAACGGGGGCCATACCAAAACGGGGGCCAATACAGGGTGAGATAAAGGGAAAGATAAAGAAAGCAAAGAATGTCGAAATAGCATCAAATTTTAGAATAAGTTTAGATTTGTTCGAATTGGTCACCTTTGGCACGAATGATGGCCTTCAAACGGCCAATGAAACCATCACACGCTGCCCGAATGTTGCTCTGCGGTATTTTGGTCCATTCCCGGCGAAGCGATTGCCAACCTTTCTTTCTAAAATACTCCAGACACAATAGTCCAAAGGATTGGTATTTGGAGGTTTTGGTGGCTATTGTGCGCTGGAAATGAAGCGAGGAACCTTATTTTGTAACCATTCTTGGGTGGTCCTGTTGAAATGTCCAAGGTCGTGCCCAAAGCTTTACACACCCTCCAGAATATTTTCGCGATAATATTCGGCATTTATTCTGATACCACTGTCGATTAATACGAGCGGAGAGCGACCATCGGCTGCTATGGCGGCCCACACCATCGCCATGGCCGGAGCTTGGGTTCTGGTGGCCAACCGAAGGTGCACATTGTCAGCTGACCTCTATGGCAAGTAAACACGATCATTTTGTTTGTTTACAAACTGCTGAACAACGAATGTTATCTCATCGGAGACAGAGAAACCCAATTTCGGCAGTTCACCACTTTCGGTCAAGTGAAGTAACTTTTTAACTCTTTTGAGTCTATTTTCTTTTTTTGCGGTGTAAGTTCTTGCACTTTTTGGAATTTCAATGGCTTTACCCCGAGCTCATTTTTCAATATTTTCCGAATGGAATATTGCGATATGTTCAGCCATTTTTCGGCAACTGTGACTCGGGTTTCGATCAAGTCTCTTCTTTACTTTTCGAACCATTTCTGCTTATGTTGCTGTTTTCTTCCGTCCACTTCCTAGACGTCGGGCTATGCTATCAGTATCACGGTAACGAGCGAAGGTACGAGACACAAAATATTTATTCACAATTTAATGCTGGAGTGCTCTAACGATAGCCACCTGTGATTTCGCAGCCAAAAATAAAGAAAGCACACTATCACGCTTGAATTCCATCATTCTCACCAAAATGCTTTTGTACGTTTGTAAACTGGAAAATTTTAACAGCTGTCAGACGAGTGGCTTAGAAATGGCAGCAGTCTGAAGTTGGTTGCAGTTTTTTCATCTCAGCCTAAGATAGGTCCACGTCTTCGAATAGCCCATATAATGGTAATTGTGATTTTAGCTACATTATTGACCGATATTTTTTAGTTTCGTATTTGAATATTATAATGACTTACGACAAAAGTTGCCTATGCAGGTCCACGTATTTGTATAGACCCAAATATAACTGTTATATTCGGTATTTTTTAATATTTTTTAACAGAACTTTTAACGGATTTTATTTTTTTTTTTTTGAAAATTTCCAAATTATTTCTAAATAGTGGATGGTATTCAATGTTCAGTCCGGCCGAACTTACTGATTTTCTACTTTTTTTTCAAATATTTTAATACCGTTGGAAAAATTTATCAAAAAAGTTAAGAGCAATTATTACCGGAAGAGTAAATAAAATTATATTTCCCCTAATGTCACAATACATAAAATATTGTATAAAGGTCCACGTCCTCCTATTTGCTTACCTGGAAAAAATCCAACGTTTACTTTTTACAAATAATTTATTTACCACAACAGTCGGAATACTTCCCCCATGATTTTAACATTGGCCAATGTTGCTGTTGTTAACATACTTTTACATTCAATTGCCAGATAATTTAACATACTTGGAAAGATAAGTGAAGCAGGCAACCACAATTATGGTCAACATAGGTCAACGAAAAGTTTAATTGAAAACGTCACATCAGACTACGAAAACGATGGTTGGCTGGGACAAACGTAAAATATTTGTAAAGAAGGCTCTCAGTACTTAACCAGTTGCCATTTTGTAAAATTCGTGATGAGGATAGCGCGCATCTCAACAATTCAAATATCCATTCAATTGTATCTTCAAATAGGAAATTTCAATACAGGACAATGTCAAATAGAAACGAGGTTATTTTTTTAAAAAGAGTAATCGTTTTAAATACAACATTTCAGTAAATTTGATTTCCAGTTATCCATCTGATCCCAACATGGAATCGCTTCGGCTACTTTTAGCTCAGATATTGGTGATGTCCCGCATAGAACGTTGTTTTGTTGTCATTTCCGACAATTGGTACGATCCCGTCTACAATAAGGCATTCTTTCAATACTCCCATGAACCGTTGACACATTTCTATATCAAAATCAAAGATTCCGAGGATTTGAAAGCACCAAATTATCAAACAGTTCGGGTATTGAAACAAATCAAAGTTTTCAATTGTGACATTCACTTCATTACCCTGCTGAATGGGGGTCAGGTGAAACGTTTGCTTATGTTTTTGGAAAAGTATCGAGTCCTTAATACCAAACGTAAATTCGTTTTTATTTATGACGAACGTTTTATAACTGAAGATATGCTGCACGTTTGGTCAAATATGATATCTTCTATATTCGTTAAACCTTTGGAGGAGGATGGAAGGTAGGTGGACAAGGGGTTGTGACCTGTTTTAAATTATAAATGTGCCTAAATTCATTTTTAGTTTCGTTATATCGACAATAGCATATCCAAATATTTTGAATGGCATTGTGGTGACCAAACGTTTGATAGAATGGCCCAAGGGAGGGCATATAAGAAAAATCCAATTGTTCCCAAATACATCGTCGGACCTGAAAGGTATGTAGTTACAAATACTTTACGGGTTTCTGATGCACTTCTAAATACGCCCAATATTAAAAAAAAAAAAACAAAATCGTAGTAAAAACAAGCAAAAAAGCTACCAAGTTCGACCGAGCCGAACTTTTAATACCATCCACCATTTGGAAGGAACCTGAAATCATCAAAATAACGAATATCGGGAAATATCGTTATTTTTGTCGTAGGCTGTAGTACACATTACGAACTTCAAATACCAAATTTGAAACATTTGCGGTGAATAATGCCGCTTAAATAACCAAAATACCGAAAAAGGGAGGTACAATTATATGGGGGCTATACCAAAACATGGACCTACATCACACATTTTAAATACCAAAGGTCCTGCAGACATAATACACATTTGAGCAACATTTTATCAACCTACTTCATTTCGTTCAGAAGCTAGAGTGATTTCCACAGACGGGCGGACAGCGCTAAATCGACATAGAATTTTATGCTGATCAAGAATATATATACTATGTGGGGTCTAAAATGTATATTTTGAGGTGTAACTAACGGCATGACAAACTTTATATACCCTCCATACTATAGTGGAGGGTATAATAACATATTTTAATACGCAAATTTTAGGCTATCAATTACCCATTGCTGTATATCAGCATATTCCCATGGTGGTTGCTAATGAAGGCGAATCGGGAAAGTCATTCAATGGACTGGAGGTTGAAATCATCAAGTCCCTGGCTAAAGTTATGAACTTTCAACCCGACTTCTATGAAAGCCGTGATACGGAGACGGAACGTTGGGGCACAAAACTACCTAATGGATCTTACAGCGGCCTAATCGGACAAATAGTAAGTTTGAGATCGATTGAATTGCGAAATGTCAAAAATGACACTCTTGCATTTCAGAGCTCTTATTCTGCGGTTATGGTCATTGGCGATTTACATATGTTTACGGCCTATAGTGCTGTCCTTGATTTCAGCCGGCCTCACAGCTATGAATGTTTAACATTCCTTACACCCGAATCATCGCAAGACAATTCATGGAAAACATTTATTCAACCGTTCAGTTCCAGTATGTGGACTGGTGTAATGCTATCACTGTTCTGGTGGGCACGGTTTTCTATTTCCTCTCATTTTTACACGCCCTATTGATGCGCAAGAAGTCCTCAAAATTAAATGCAAAATCCTTTTTTGCACCTTTTCGCAAAAGACACTCCATTAGCCATATGAACATTCAACGATTTCGGGATGTGAAATTTCGTCGCTATTTGAACCAAATGACTGTGGCCCAAAGGCAAGAGGATTTATTTGATAATTTTTCAAATTGTATTCTGTTAACCTATTCGATGCTGATGTATGTCTCAATGCCAAGAGTGCCAAGAAATTGGCCTTTGCGGGTTTTGACAGGCTGGTATTGGCTATATTGTATATTAATAACGGTCAGTTATCGGGCCAGTTTTACGGCAATCTTGGCAAATCCTGCTCCAAGAATTACCATAGACACTTTGGATGAGTTACTGCAAAGTCATTTAACCTTATCCGTAGGATCTATAGAAAATAAGAAACTCTTTGATAATGCTTTCGATCAAGTACTTAAGGAGTTGGGTACAAGCACAGACGTTTTGACAGATATTACGGGTGTGGTAAGTAACAGAACTACCAAATTAATAATTAAAGGAAGCCCCTGTAATCCTTTGTTTATTCTTTTTTTTTTTTGGTTTTCAGACTGAAAAAATTGCCAAAGGTGGATATGCCTACTACGATAATCAATACTTTTTACAGCATTTACGCCTAATGTCTACGGAAAGTAGTGATGACGATGCCGTTCTGCACATAATGAAGGACTGTGTCGTTAAAATGCCTGTTGCCTTGGGATTGACCAGAAATTCACCTCTAAAACCACATATAGACAAGTATTTGGAGCGTTTAATGGAGGCTGGACTAATTAACAAATGGCTGCAGGATACTGTCAAACATTTTCCCAACGATGAACTAGCCCCCGCCGAGGCCATTATCGATTTGCGCAAATTTTGGAGCTCATTTGTGCCCTTGGTATTTGGTTACTTTTGTGGTTTCGTGGCTTTGCTGTTGGAGCATGTTCATTTCCGTAAAGTCGTAATGCCGCATCCTTTGTATGACAAAGCTAACACCAGGTTGTATTATAATTTCAAACGTAAATTTCCCAACAACTGAAGAATAAAGCGATGACATACAAGTTCCGAAGATGATTATCGTTGTTATTTTATTAAGCATGTATTTTATTATTCATTTTTTACACAGTTATAGTAATAATACATACATATGTTAGATTTTTTCTTAAAGTCTACTACATAAGTACAATTCAAAATAAATGTAAGTGCGAATGGGTGGTATGAGTTAAAAAAATAAATAAATATATATTAAATGTTTAGTTATATTCAGAAGGTACATACATAAAATATTGTTTGTTCTTTTTTAATTTTTGTGACCGAAAAATTTCTAGAAATTCCCAATACTATTTATTTTTAAATATTTTGTATTTTACGTTCTCAATTTGCAGAAGTCCACAAAACTCACACACACTAGAGCTTAAAACATCCCATTGCGTACCACTATAAATCCATTGACTAGTTACATTTTGTATCTTTCTGTTATGGGTTTGTTAAATGGTGATTGAGTGCGGTATACTTTCTACGGGAATAAGCAGAATATTACGTTTTTAAAATTTATTTTAAAGTGATTAAATGTGTTGGAGCACATTTGGAATGAAAGTGAAAATGGACAAAAGTAGAACTACATAAATTGATGGTCATGGGCAATAATTATCAGACTTACATATGCAATAAAACTACTGAACTGGAATAGCTTTAATATTGCACTTAAATGGAATGAATATTTAAACATAATAAATTAGCAATTGTTGTCGAAAACTTTGAAGTAGTTTAAAATACTGTAAAATAACAACAAGGACAATGTTGAAATGGCATGTTGAGTCGGAATTGTTTTCTTCTGGAGAAAGCTGTTTCAATATTCATCTATTGAAGCGTAGTTCTAAATCAATAACAAAACATGAAAGTCTGTGTTACAATTAAAAGTGGAATGGTGTTCTTCGCTTCTAACATGATACATAAAGTTGTGCGTAAATAATATATATGTTTACATGTATTTATGAAAATAAGCATAATAAGGTATGTATGTTTAAATTAATACTAAATTAATTTGAACACAAAAGGAACATACAATACATAAGTTTAAGACAAGGAACATACAGATCGTTACATTCATACATATACATACATACGGGCAATATACGTTCCCTTAAAGAAAAAGCAATATTTAAGAAAACTATCACATAAACATAATAATAATAAAGTTGGTTTGTTTGTTTGCTTAGCTTACGTCGTTTAGAAATATATATTTACGTCTTAACTTTACGTCCATGTTTCCCTGTGTATTTGCTGCGATCATGGCCATTATGCTTGTTCTTGGATACGCCATTCAAACGCAAAATTCCATTTGATTTTGAACGCGATTCAAATAGAACATCCGAATCAGTCTCAGAATCCGTCAGTGATGTTCGCGAATCTGCAAAAAAGTAGAAAATGTTCCTTCAAAAGACGACCTTCTCTTCGATAATGTGTACTTACAACTGGGCGCTTCTTCATCCTGTGTGCCAATTAGGGAGTATTTTTGCACTTTTGGTCGTGAACGAGGTTTCTTGGTTTGACGACAGGCAATAGCAATGCCCCAAAATAGAGCAGAAAGCATCAGTAAAGTCACTATGACACCCACAAAAACGTAAAGTACGGACCAATCTATAAAAGAAATCAAATTTAAATAATATCTCAAATATTTGTGCATAATTGAAAGTCTACCGCAATTGGCCTCCTCTATTCCCCAGAAGTAGCCAAATGAAGGCATCCAAAAAGCTTCACAAAAACAAGCACGGGTATCCGAGTTGCAAACACCATGGCCCGAACATGGATTCTGGCAGACCACAGTACGAACATCAGCAAACACTGTACCCAATATAGAGGCATCGCGTTGAAGTTTTTCTTTTAGCAGACGTTCAATGGTCAAGCCGTCAACAGGTATAGCTTTTCCAGCTTTTTCAGACTACCGAGAGATATTTAAAAATTCAATAATTTCAACCATTAGCGTGAAAATAAGAACATCTGTTTTACCTCAACATAAAATATCAATATGGCTGCATTTGTCCTAGAATCATGTTGCAAATCTCGAACTTGCACTTTCATATCGCCCATGAGAAGCCCAATTTTTTGCACAATAGTATTCAAAGAGGAATGCGTCAACATAGAGATATTCATCGGCAATGTAAGTTGGATAAGATTCAAAAGCATTGGGTCTGGGTGAACGAAAACGCTGGCAGTATCTGAACTTGTTAATCCTTGTTCATCGCTTACAGTTAGTTTGAAAACATAACGGCCAGAAACCAGATTGGTGAGCTTTAAAACAATCAATTCATGGGATTATTTTATAGATTATTTTATAGATGTATGAGATGTATACTCACAATCATAACGGGACTACTATCAGTCGTTCCCACAATTTGTCCGGCAGCTAAGCTAGCATCTTCTCGGGTCCACTGATATTTCACCACACCCAAGTCATCCGAAGATGAAGATCCATTGAAATAAATTGCCGACACTGGCAGAGTGATGCTCTGATCTCCTCCGGCGTTGGCCACAGGTGGTGAATTTTTCTCTTGCACCACTTTAACCCAAATGCTATCTGTAGCCGTGTTATTACTTTCGTCCATTACTGCCAATTGGAATTCATATAAACCAAGAGTCAAGCCAGTTGCATTTGCCACCTTAAAGCAAAAAAGAAACCGTAAAATAAAACGCTTTGAACGCTTTACCAAAATACTTACTGTTTCATTTGATTTCGAGATAGAGGCTGTATTAGGTCCAGAAACTTCCTTCCATTCATATGATTTTATGCCAATATCATCTGTCGAGCCAGATCCATTTAATAGTACCCAGTTGGTTGGTAAGTTTATTGTCTTGGGAAAAAATGTTGTTATACTTGCAAGTTCAATAAAACAAATAAAAAGGAAAGTATTTACCATGTTGGAGCCAGCAACTGCAACCGGAGGTGAATTTGTTGGTGGCTTTACAAAAACATGAACTTTTGCTGTACTTGACTGTCCACTGCCATCTGTTACTTTCAACACGAATGTATACATGCCCTCTTCCAAGTTGGATAACTGTACGTATGGAGTCCTAGTATTTTGCATGTCTACCGCTTTGGCTTCATCACTGGCATCCTTGGTCCATTCCCAGGCCACAATTTCATGATCATCGGAACTGGCAGTTCCGTTCAGAGTTACATTATTATTGGGCAAATACAGGATGACTGCATCCCCGGCATTTGCAACAGGTGGATAATCGGTTCCCTTCAGAACAGTTATATTTGCTGTCGTAGAATTGGTCACATTATCCGTATCGGTAACTGTCAATTTGAATGTGTAGTTTCCGGGAGAAGTCAAATCCGTCAATTGAAGTGTATTGACTTCGGGTAATTTTGGTTGATATCCTATTGGACCAGAAACAACTTCCCAATGCCACAATACAATCCGGTCATCATCTGTACTTGTACTACCATCTAAAATGGCATTAGTGGTGGGTTGTCTAATTGTCTGTTCGCTGGGGGTGATTATGACCTGAGGTACGCGATTTATGCGTTTCTCAGGCAAAACTGTTACATTGGCCATAGCTTCGCCATAAGTACCATTATCGCCCGTCACAGTCACCTTAAAAGTATACAGGCCTTCGGATAAATTCGATAACTTTACTTTGGACTGACTTTGGTCAGATATGGTACCATTCATAGGACTTTTGGGCTGGTTAATTAGTGTCCAAAGATATTTGTATTTAGTACTGCTTGACTCTTCGTCGGGCACAGTAAACGCAGCCAATGTTACTTCTTTTTCGGGCAAACGAACTTCTTTCGATACAACCGAGACCATTAACTTTTTATTCGCGTCTGTCTTGGGTGTTGGTTCAGATTCTGGTTTCTGTACTGTGGTGGCCTCGTTCGATGAAGCCGACGCCATCATTATATTGTGTGCTCCTCCCGACTCATCCAACAAACTGTAGTCTATCGAGTCTGGGACACAGACACGCAGATGGTTGCGCACAAAACCTCTAACACATTTACAAATACCTGTATTAACATCAACCGAAATGCATTCTTCGTTTGGAGGACATCTATTACCACCTGCCTCGGAACCCAAATCCAAGTTGCAAGTTAAGAACTTAGTCAAGGCTGCTGACTCAGGCGATAAGTTTGCACGATAATACGCCAAATCCTCCGGTAATATGCCTTCACTTTCATCCAAAGGTGATGACATTAACAATTGCTTCACCCTCTTTTCGGCCAAGGGAAAATCATCCTCATCATAGTTGTTGGGCACAACCGTTTCTCCACTCCGAGAATAGTATGGCAATTTGTGTGGTTGTTTCCAAAAGTTAAGCGAATTTATGTTCTCATTCCCCTCGCTTTCCTCAAATGGCAACATCTCGTTCAAAGCCTTTGACGCCTTTAACGAATCTAACCATGAGAATTTTTCTTTTTCACCATCGGCCCTAACCGGGTTGACCAAAACCATTTGTATGCGTCCGGGCAAAGATCTACGCTCCTTGGGCAAACAGGCTTCATTGCTGGCACACCGCACATGATAGCATTTGTGCTTAAACATGAAGACCACATTGCAAGTGTTATTCCGGCCCTTTTCACAGCACGCTTCAACGCATGTACGCAAGTCCACTTCACCTCCAGAATTTGCATCATCCGCAGAAGGATATTTCTCAAATATGCCAGAATTCAATTCATCATGTGGCATGACGCTCTCAAAAACATAACGTACCATATTGGGACACAGCACTGTCAAGTCACCTTCGCCTGCATTTCGTGTATTTACTGGGGTGTCTACTTGAGTCGTTTCATGAGCAGCAGCTCCTGCTGGTGCCGGAGTGTCCGTTGTCACAACGGAGTCCATCGCCCATGCTGCCACCACATATGTTGTCATCAGAATTAAATACCTCATTTCCCAATTAATCATGTTGATGGATTATTACAAGCTTTGAAAATTTTATATGCGCAACAACAATTATCAGTGTCCGAAAAACAAACTATATTCTTCAATTTTTGCCTCTATTCAATAACATTTTGTTTTACTCTTGAAGTAGCCACTTATCAACTTTTCACTCAAACAATGACGAAACAAATTTATTCTTTGAATGGGATATAGCTAAGTAATAGAGCACAGCCGACGAAAAAAATATTGCTGGGTGAACAATAAAAAACAACCCTCGCCACCATCCGACCCCTTCTATTTTATAAATAACGTCAAAATAGTTTCTGATAATCAGCTGACAGATGCGATTATAGGCAGAATGGTGGTGGAACAGAGCCGATAACTTTAATCGATAAATCTCCGGCATTGTATGATATCGTATGGGGATGTTGTTGGTTGGATATTTAAAATTTTTGAAGAAAAATTTTTGTTTCTGTTTCAGAAACCATTGAACACCTAGGAAACAATTTTGGGAATTGGGCAGCGTCTTATCGGATCAATCTACAATTTAGAGGATCCTAGACATAAAACACATAGTTTTTCAGTTATGTCGGTAGAGACATAAGCACAGGAGCTATCGGAATTCTTTCAATTTCAGTCTTCTACATTTAAATTTGCAATAATATTGCCAGTAGAAGACTCTACTAAGCAAATTAAACTATTTGAAGTTTCTTCTGGTCAATTTAGATCTACTTCACAAGCTTTTCCTCAGCTAATTAAGGACATGCCATGCACAGGACATAGTATTTCTTCTGGACTATTGAAATCCATCTTATTGGAAACTTTAATTCCAAAATCATTAATATTGTTATTGTTAATTCGGGATCCATTTCAGTCTCCGGCAGAATTGGCATTGCGTTTTTTTAATGTGAATGCCACGCTTTTGTGTATTGTATTGTATAAACACTCTGCCCAGAAATGGTCTGAACAAACAATATTTTTATTCGATACCTTTCTTTTAACATTTGACCCCAATTTTTCGAAACGTGGTGAAAACTAATGCCTTCTATTGAGGCCTTATTGCCACAAGGAGGTACGCAACATACTTGCTTTCTTGGCATTTAAAATTAAAAAAAAATTAATTAATGAGTATAAAGTTTTTAGATTTTAAAAATAAGGAAATAATTAGCAATATTGCCATGTTATGTAATTATATATACTTTTATTAAATACATTTTTTTAGAATTTTTATTGACATTTATATTACTGATTTTTTCTATTTTATTTATATTGTATCTTTTTATAAAACTTATTAATTATAATATATATTTTATTATTTATTAATTACTTACCTATTATATTTATTGTTTTTAAAACATGTTATGTTTTTAATAATTTATTTACTTAAAAGTTTATTAATTTATTTTATGTTTCTTTATTTTTTATTCTATTTTTATGTTATTGTTTATTTTTTCTATTTTTGGTATAATAAAAATAATACTTGATGATATTCATTTGTGTTATCCTTGTGCACTCATTTGTAACAGGCAAAAGGAAACAATGAAAATCAGGAGTTAGGGTAAGTGAATTCAATTGTTTCGAATGCATATATGTGCAGCATATTCGGCTTTGTTGTTGTACATTCTGATTCGACCTTTGAATTGATGTTGCCCTATAGTAGGCCGGTCCGCCAAACTCGTTTCAAAAATTGAAAGATTTCATATTTAAAATGTTCCTCACATTAGGAAAATCTTCAATTAAACCGTTTCCAATGCAAATGTGCAACTAATTCGGCATTGTTGTTGTACATTCTAATCCATTTAACATTGAAATATTTAATAATTAAATAACACTACACTAAATATATGGTACATTATTAATACTTTTCTTTTAAACTAAACTGTAATCGATACTATAATTGCTATATATCGCATAGGATATATTTTAGTGGTTTATGATAATAAACATATATTTCTTGGAATATTGTTCATATAAAATTATCACATTATTGAAATGATATCCGCATATGCTTAATCGCAACAACTTCGAAATTAATACTTCTTTCCAAATACAAAATAAATACTTCTTTGTACGACATCCACGCTTAATATGTATGATGAGGGCTTTCCTTTTCACTGCAAATTTATCAAAAACAAATAAATCATAAACATCTTTGCTGTAGCAAGGCAGAACTAAAATATTTCCTTACCACTTAATTCCGTTTTTCAAGTGGGACTATACTGTTTTACAAAATACTCTGTTCTTACACTCCATTCAGTTTCAGTTCAGGATTATCTATTAGTTTTCTTTATTTCTTATTTCCACAACATCTTCTCTTCACCTGTTGCAGCCAAATATGGTGCCACACTCCAGTTCAACAACAAAACTTGAATTTTTAAACTTGATAATAAGAAATGCAAACATCTTCCTTAAACAATGCTTCAAATTCCCTACAAATATTGATGTTTGTACTTCGCACAGAAAAAAGTGGCGCAAAGGAGTATTAACACAAACAAACATCGTGCACACAAACAGCAGAAAATTGGTAAGAATGCGAGATAAAAAAATTCATTGACCATCCCAGGCAATGCCAGTTTTGGTCTAAAGCCGGTATTGCATTAACATCATTCCATTTCAACGTCATTGATCCAGAATCCGAGAGAACATTCCCTTTCATGTGTAGTTCGAGTAAAACTAAAATTTAGTCTTATTTTCGTTGTTGAAAGCGAAGCTTGCACCTGTTTTAGAACCGCATTTCAGTGAGAACGAAAGAAATGCAATCGTCGTCAATAAAACTGGTTGAAAGGGTTGCAGTTCTGTTGTTTGTTCTGCTTATGGCAACATCACATTTGCCATGTATTGAGATGAGCAGCGATGATGATGGACCACTTGAAGAAAACGGGCGTGTTGTCTACGACCAGCGTCAAAGCGGCAAATACAATATACATGTGGTGATTAAGGATGTGGCTATTATTGAAATGGGTCAAAATGAATTCCAAGACGTACGTTTATTATTGCCTCATTAATTTCTTACATTGTGTTTATGTAGTTGAATTTTAATTTAGACAAAATATAAGGAAGTTTTAAAAGACATTGACATCTCAAATTTATTTACAGAATAGCTATAGCGATGAGGATTACTATTACGATGAAAATGATTTGACTGTTAGGCCAATAACTCTTAATCCTCCAACGGCAGCCACGACTACAACAAAACTTTCGACAACAAACACTGTGAACAAGGAGAATAATTTTACTGCGCTAAGTGTGGATGGAGTGACCGGAAATTCTTCAAGACCGCACATCGAAGAAAATACCTCAGCTTCTTTTAATAAAATCCAAGAACATGACGAGACAACAATAAATTCAAATGTTCTGTGGAATACATTAACATCATTGATTTCTGGAAAACCTTTAGCCGATAATGAAGTAACCACTTTAAAGCCTGACATGTATCCAACAAGTAAAACAACTGTGCCGAATATTGAGGTGAAACCACGTAGTAAAATTGAGCCTATTTTTGCTCAGGATGATTCGCCAAAATTTAGAGATGATTCTATACCCTTAAGAAATTCTAAAATATATAAATTAAAAATACACAGGTCCCATCATCCCTTTGCCCGCCCATCGAAGAAATCACAAGCAAGACGTTGTCGTTCCAATCAATCCAAAAATGTCAATGGCCATTGTGGCAATAAGAGATCAACTTCTGGATCCCTATTGTAAGAAAGTTCTGCTATATGACGTTTTTTCTTTTTATTTAATTTTACTTCGTTTTGCTCAGGCATCGTCTCTTCAGCATGTTGGTAAACTTACCGGTAGTAAGCGGCGGGGAGCAAGAACAACAACAACAACACTATGATGACTAAATTTAAATAATATTTAATTCAAACTCTCTTCGCTTTTAATTATAATATTTTGAATAGACTAAAACTAATACAATAAACATTTCTTAATTTCGTATCTGTGTGTTTTGTATTTTTGTCTCATATTGAAAGGAGTTCTGCATTAGGTTTTTTTATTTTTTCTCTCTAAAAATGAAGTCAACATTTAGTAAATTTTAAAATTTGTCTCCTTATCTTTATTGTGTAACAATAAAATGATAAACTTAAAAGCAAACATTTTACAAAATTGGATATTCAATAAGAAATTAAATTAAAAACAAAAATAATTTAGTTATTACTTACAATTTCGTAATGAAGAAGAAAGTTAAGGGGTAGAGCAAACATTTACAACATAATAAAATTATTAATACTTTTTTGTTATGATTAGGATATGTACAGATCTAATGAGTTAAAATTTCAATCAAAATATGAAAAAGGAATATATGTATGTAAACAATCACCAATTACTTGAATATTGATAAAAACAATATTCTATTTTTGTCTTTAACTAGGAGAGCTTTAAAACGTTTTAAGAGTTTTGAAAACTCTTCATAATTGCCATAACAATGCATAAAAATTTAAACTCAAGTTAGGATAAGATAAGATATTTTAGAAGTTTTCTTCTTGGAAACAATAAGAGAATAGGGTGGAATTTTAATATCATCGGTTTAATACTGTAGAATAAAAGTGGATTCTGTAATTCTTAATTGTGTGCATCTTTGACCATCTTTTTTAAAGGAAAATTTAATGTTAGCATTCGGATTGCAGCTTGTGTATAATATAAAACACCCTCTAAAATAAAGGTTGTTGCGAAATTTGAATAATTTATTAAATAAACAAATTGTACTCGACGTAAAGAGAATGAAACTGAAAGCAATTGGAACATACATCCGTTTTATATTCGGGATGTACAGAAAACAAGAGTCCTTGATGACCACATAATCATAACAACTCCATTTGTAACAACTTTCTGAGGGTACCTTATACTTCATACAAGCTTATATAAAATAATATTGAGTATTAATTTTTTAAAGTTGATGATATTAAATATTTTCTATGGGATATACACAAAGTGATGTACTGTTTAAATAAATATTATAAAAAATAACAAATGAGCAAAAAAGTAGTAAATTGTTCAGATAAAGAATTTCTCAAAGAAACAAAAATACATTCAAATATTATGCAGGCTTAATTTACTAATTTAACTATGTACGAATATATATCGTATTACCATGGAATTAATCTAAAACAGAAATTGCGCAAATGTAATTTAGTAGTAGATTTGATAGTTTGTTTGCATTCATCCTGTGCGCATTTTTAACATAGAGTTACTTTTCAATTTTTTGTTTTGGGATTTCTAAGAGATTTCCTTTGTTTCTGGCATTGAACATATTAGATGTCTTTTTCTCTATTTCGTTGTAACCGAAAATAAATATTTTTAAAATTAACTAAAGTTGTAGTGTTTGGTAGTTTTGTATAGAGTTGTAGTCTATTGGAAGGCGTTTTGAGTACAATTGCAGATTGATGACCATCCATTTCGAGTTACATTTGTTGTGGTAATAAATAATTGGAATAATTTTGGTTCTGATTGATGGCATAATTTAAAAAGTCTTAGATTGTTCTGCGTGGCTGAGTGCTTCTTGAATATAATTGTAAAGCACACACACTTATAACTAAACAAGGGTGCTCAATACAGAGTTGCAATAACAGGTTTCCAAATGAGAATCGCAACCTTCCGAATATTTCCATTTTATATTTCGATATTTGTTGCCGAGTTCTTACCTTTAACTTCAAATATCTATCTGTTTTTTAATCAGGTCTTAACAATTTAAGGCATTCCTGGTAGTACTGAACAATTTTGTCTTTGTTGAGGCTGTTGCTGCAGCATACTGGCCCGCACCCTTTGTTGTTCTAATCTCTGTACAGATGCTGTTAAATGGGAATTTTCCACATACAAATCTTTGACGAGAAAATCGGCCTTTTGCAAACGCTGTACCTGGTCAACAATCAATCTACCTTGAGTTTCAAGACGTTCATGCAGTTCATTTAATTCTATTTGATGATTGCGCCAGGATTCTAAAATTAGAAGAGTATAAGATGATTGATTATGTATTTTTCATTTCATTTCATTTTCATTTATTTACCTTACAAAGAAATATAAATAAGCCCACAGGGCCCATAACTTATATTATCTATCTACAATACCCTAACATAATACAAATTGAATGATTAATTCAAACTTAACAAATAACATATTAAACCTAATAATTTATCTTAATAATTCACGAGAAGCTCGAACCCTACACCTCGATTCACCATCACCAACTAAACAATAGTCTAGTAGAGCAGTGAAAAAGTGTAGCAGAAACGAGCTAAAATAAGAGATAACTATTTTATTACTCACAAAACAGAGTATAAATAGTAACTCACATTATACCCTACAAATAAAATTAAGAAGATAATATAGTGGCTCCCCAGCCCAAACAAAAAGAAAAGCAAAAAGAAAGACCCATAATAAACCGACGCAACCACTACAAAAACATAGCCTACATATTTAGGCGAAGGTATTCAATTACTTTAACCCTAAACAGATAATTGGTATGGGCAAAAGTACGTAAGGCCAAAGGAAGCTGATTCCACAATCTCACCGCCCTAACCACAAATGATCTCTCACCAATGGAGGACGAAAACCTTGGACACAACAATTGAGGATTTCGAGATGATCTACAAAACAAAAAGTTGTCACGAAGAGGACAGTCAAAATTGCACATAACACTGTAATGAAATTGAAGAATACGAAGATCAACGTAGCTGCTAAATGGCAATCCCAGGAGATCATTAACAAAACAAGAAACATGATCACCACGACGCAAGCCATACACATAACGAACAATCGAATTTACCGCCCTACGGATACGTTGCATTTGAGAAGAAGTAGTACCGGAGACTACCTCTAGACAATAATTTACCTGCGATAGCAGCAAGGATACAACCACTCTCTTCCTAACATGACAAGGCAAATAAGCATTAAGACAATACAGCCTCCGCAGCTGAAACCTTATACGACAAAGCAAGGAATCAATGTGTCTCTTAAAGTCCAACTTCCGATCAATTATAACACCAAGACATTTCATTTCATCAACAAATTTCACTAACACAGAACCCACAGTAATATTAAGAGAACCACCATTACCATGATCATTGAACAGCATAGCTTTAGTTTTATTCCAATTAATCATAAGGCCATTTAGCGAAATCCACGACGAAAGAGACAAAACAATAGAATTAACCAACCCTTCCAACCCAGCAATATCAGCCTCTCTGAAGAAAACATGAATATCATCTGCATACAAAAACAGACAACACCTGTCATCAACAACTGAGTGCACAATGTCATTAATGAACATAATAAATAACAACGGTCCCAGTACAGAACCTTGCGGGACTCCACATTGGACACTACAAACTTCAGACGAAACACCCAAATGAACAACAAACTGAGACCTACCTTCCAAATATGAAGCCATTAAACGACACGCAGAAGATGAAAAACCAAACTTAAACCTCAGCTTGTCAAGTAAAAGGGAATGGTTTATCGAATCAAAAGCCTTTGACAAGTCAAGGCCCAATAATAACCCAACATCAGATGAATTAAATACATCTCTGATCATGTCAGTAAGATATAATAAGTGCGTGGTCGTACTACATCGCCGCCGAAAACCAAACTGAGAACTACTCAATAGCCTACGATCATCAAGGAAGTCAACAATCGCTTCTTTAATAATATGCTCAACGATTTTTGACATAGCAGGTAGAATGCTAATGGGACGCAGATTCGGCAAATCAAATGATTCACCAGTTTTCGGCACAGGAACAATTCGTGCAACCTTCCACGCCCGAGGAAAAGTAGATGTCATAAAAATCGAGTTAACAAAATGCAGGAAATGACAGGAAATGTATGGAAATATAAGTTTAAAAAACTTTACTGGCACGCCATCAACCCCCACAGCTCCCGACTTAACTTTATTTAATGACCTTACAACATCAGAATAAAATATGCAATAAAACCGAAAAACATCATCTCCCACATGACCCTCACTATAAAGAGACTGACCACGCTCACCCACAAAACCAGGATTCCCACTGGAAAAATAATGATTAGCAGCATTGACATCAATTGGTGGAGCTTCATTATCACTACCCAAAACACCAAACGACTTTAGAGATTTCCACAGCTGATTATTATTCATACGACCAAAGAGATCATTATAGTACTTACGCCTCTCATTCCTCATCACAGCCTTACAACGATTCCTATACATACAATATATTATTCTATTACCCTCCATAGGTCGCTTGCGCCACTCAAAGTACGCAAGATCTCTAAACATCCGTGCCGATTTTACCACATCAGATTCCAACCATGCATCATTCCTGGGGTTGACCTTACGAACAGAAACAGGAACGAAAGACAATAGCGCGTTAAACAACAAATCAAATAGTGAAAGTTGACAATTCACATCAGAAGTGGAATATAAGGGGTTGAAGTCAAAATCGGATATGAAATTTAAAATGCCCAACCAATCCGCTCGGCCAAAGTTACGATACTCAATAAATCTCTCCTCTGAAAATACAGGCAGGTTAAGCGAACCAAAAACAAAGGCATGGTGCGATATACCAGGACATCGACCCTGAGATGAGAAACCCAAGGACAAATTATCACTAGTAAGGCAAAAATCAATTAACGAGGTAGAGTTATGGGCCAAATCATAATGGGTAGGTTTCATGTTATGCACAATAGTTAGCCCCAATGATCTGCATAATCCTCTCATCGAAACAGAGTTCGAAGACACAAATAAATTACAGTTAAAATCGCCAAGGACAATGATATTAGAGAAGCGATCAAACAAACTCTCATGTACATCACAGAAAGACTGAACATCGCCATGGGGAAGATATACTACCGCCACAAGCAAAACCAATGCCCCAATATTCAACTCAACACACACCGACTCACAAACACCAAAATTATTTGAACGAAAAACTACCTTATAAGGAATGCCACTACCAATATAGAGACATACCCCACCACCAACACGACCAACACGATCACTCCGCACCAGCTTATATCCTGGAACAACCAACGATTTCGATGAGACTGCAGAATTAAGCCAAGATTCAGTGACACCAAAAATGCTGATACCACTACCAACCAGCAAGGATCGAAGCTCATCAATTTTATTATTGAATCTCGATGGGCGAATACTTTGGCAGTTCAAGTGGCCATACGTTAGTTTACCAGACAAACCCTCAAATAAGGGTTTAAAAAAGTGAGCGTCATTAATTATGGGTCCCAGATTATCATCAAGTGACATCAAACCAAATAAAGGGGCTGGGGAGCAAAATTATGTAAATTCGATTTCGCATCTTAAACTAAAAATTGAAAAATATAAATATATAAATAAAAAAAAATAAATAATAAATAATAATATGAAAGATTATTTAGAACAAATAAGCAATAATTTGCATCAAGAAAACAATTAAATTGCCAATGAGATCAAAACAAAATTAATATTTACATTACATGACTACACTCCCAGCAGCATATCACCAACCAACGGAGCACCACCCGGTTGCAGAGGACAACTACGAGCAAATTCAAGAAGCTCTTGTCGCTCAAAAATTGTTTTACTTCCATCAGCAAGTATTACCTCAACTTGAGGTTCATCACTATTTAACAACCTGAATTTCTTAATCTTCTTCTTCTTGAGCAGGCCTCTGCAGGCAAAAACAAGACTAGATGCCGATTTAACAAGATGATCATTTAAGTAGATACGGGACTCCAATAGACAATTCTCCATAACTTCTTTTAGGGTTACCTTCCCTCTTTTAACAAATCGGCGGATAAGGGAATCTCTTGTCTGAATAGAATTAAACTTCACCAAAACCGCTCTACGTTCAGATATGTAACAGCACTGCTGCATGTCGCCATGAGATAGTTGCAACCCACACAAATTAGCAACTTTAACAACAAAGCTCCTGAGGTCTTTAATATTTTCCGGCAAACCTCTTATAATGATATCAGCTCTGTTAAGCCTTCGCTGGAGCACATTGTTAAAAGACTCAAGCTCAGAAATCCTATCAGCAAGTTTCTTTTCTGCTAACAAAGCCGTACTTTTAACTTCAGAGACTGTCATCTTCAACTCAACTACAGCCTTTTAAGCTCAACCACATCACGCTTTACCTCAGATATTTGTGCATTATAAAGATCAAACAGAGCATCAGTTTTGGTACGGAATTCAGACAGACATCTAGCCATATACGTGTCCATTTGTTGTTTCATAGACAAAATCAAGTTATCCTGCAGCTCTCGCAGAGCATCTGAATTCCCAACAAAATCACACGCAGCCACACCAACTGTCTCATCACCACCATTCAAAGAAGCATCAGCTGTGGCACCAACCCTAGATGCATCAACTGCAGTGTTCGCTTTTGTTCCACGATCAACCACACCAGCGTCACCACTACCACCAGCAGCCCGAACACAGCACACACAAGTGTATCTGAGTTGCTTATTTATTTTAGCCTCAGCCTCAGAAATGCCAACGCAATCCAAATGGAAAAAATTTGCACAGCCTTTGCAACCAATTTTATATTTGGATTTGGCAATATGATCCTTACAAACATTACAGGTCAATAGCGACGGCATTTTCAGGATTACCTTGGCAGATGCAAATGAATAAAAAAAAAAGAGCGCCAAACGAAAATGCACAGCAACAGGTTAAAAAGGTGAGAAGAAAAACCAACTCCACCAAAAGCCACAGCTCCAGACCTTCAAACACCAATATCCAAAAGAAATAGTCCAGTCAATTTGTAAAAATCTCCAATTTTAAATATTTAATTATTTTCTTGACAGAGCTCAAATTTAATGCTTGTTCATTGCAGGGATCTATAGTTCGATTTGAATAATAATAATGTGATTATTTATTTGATATGGCTTACGTTGCATTATAGAGTCTGTGTACTGCTGTTGCTGTTTGATAACATTTTGTAAATGACGATTTTTCAATTCCAATTGATTTACTCTTTGTATTAAAGACGGATGGGCCGTTCTCTGCAAATAGAAGCGAACAGAGTTGTAAATTTAGATGGCATGATTAATTTAATTTTAAATCCTAATTATTATATAAATATAATTAAGTTTGTCCAATATGAAGTAGTACTTCGCCGTTTCTGTTTGAAACAACCCATAAATACTTTTAGGAAAAATATTATTTATCTTTTAACAACATTCATATTCGATTTGATAGCATAAACTTTTCGAAAACTTACCGCATATGCCTTCTCTAACACTGGCTTAGCTTCTTGCAGTTGTTGAAGTTCCATAATTAAACCATCTCTCTGCAATGACAAGTCCTTAATCTGTTCCTTCAAAGAAAGCTCAAAGAATTTCAAACGTTTTAGTTCTTCTTTCATTACACTTGGTGTTGGACTAGTTGAACTATTCTTTGTGCTGGCATTTGATTTGGTGGCCAATTGCGTATTACGCTGCTGAAGGCTGTGATTCGAATGTATACTGTGCGTTTCGAAACTTTTGCCTGATGCTGTCGAGGAGGTTTCACAATCGGCCACATCTCCCGCTTCGGAGGTCGAAGTATTATGCGATTGTGACTGACTGGGCTTTTCTATCGGTGACTGCAGTGATGTCTGCGGCGGTGTGCTGAAAATTGTAGTTTCCGAAGTTGTTAAATTCAAACTAAAAATAAAACAAAAGAAAATGCAGACAACACAAAAATTGTTTGTTAGTTTCGTGTGTTATTTCTTGAGTATAACGAGATTTGTTGTGTATGTACAATTTTTACTGTCCTTTTTTTCGCCTTTTGTGATATAGTTATACAAGTATTTTGTGCCATTTAAAAATGGAACTAATATAGCACGTAACTTGCGGGCAGTACCACTCTTTTTGAAGGTAAGACATAAGAACGGCTCTATTTTGATCGAAAAGTTCATTCATTGTGAAAATTTGAAATTAATCAACGTTGGCAGTCATCGCAACTATAGATGGGCACTACTACTATTTTGGGTACAGTAGCTTTGGCTTGGAACAATAAATCATTTTAAAATTGTTTTATTCTTAGTTTTGTTTTATTAATTTAGCTTAAAAGAATTTCAAAATCGCCCTTATGCGCTTATGTAAAATTCTCATTGCAAATCGGTTTATCATGGCATTATTTTTTACAAGGTCACGTCTTTGTAGGCGGATCTAAAAAGTTCTGCCTAATGAGCCAAAGGAGCTTAACGATCATAATACAGGGTGAGATGAAAAAACTCCAACCAAATTCAGACTGCTGTCATTACTAAGCTACTCGTCCGGCAGCTGTTAAAATTATTCCAATGACAGCTCATTATATTGTTTACAAGCGTACAAAAGCATTTTGGTAAGAATTTTCTAGGAAAAAAGTTATTCGTGATGGAATTCAAGCGTGATAGTGTGATTTCTTTATATTTGGCTGGAAAACCACAAGTGGCTATCGTCAGAACACTCCAGCATTTAAATGTGAATAAATCTTTTGTGTCTCGTAACATCGCTCGTTACCGTGATACTGGTAGCGTAGCCCGACGTCAAGGAAGTGGACGGAAGAAAACAGTAACATCAAATATGGGTCGTGAGCTGAACATATCGCAATATTCCAATCGGCAAATATTGAAAAATGAACCCGTTGAAGTTCCAAAAAGTGCAAGAACTTACACCGCAAAAGAAAGAAAATAGACTCAAAAGAGCTAAAGAGTAGCTTCACTTAGCCGAAAGTGGTGAACTGCCGAATTTGGTTTTCTCCGATGAGAAAACATTCATTGTCCAGCAGTTTGTAAACAAACAAAATGATCGTGCTTATTTGCCAAAGAGGTCAGCTGAAAATGTGCACCTTCGGTTGGCCACCCGAACTCAAACGCCGGTCATGGTGATGGTGTGGGCCACCATAACAGCCGATGTTCGGTCTCCGCTCGTATTAATCGACCGTGGCATCAGAATAAATGCCGAATATTATCGCAAAAATATTCTGGAGGGTCTTGGTCAAAGTCTTGGGCACGCAAACATTCTGCCCGCAGACCTTGGACATTCCAACAGGACTTAGCACCATCGCACTCAGCACGCTCCACCCATGAATGGAAAAAAAAATTCCGGATACCAAGGATTTCCGGAAAGCAAGGTTGGCACTAAAAAATACCAAAGTGTTGAATACCTCAAGCAAGTGCTTCGCCGGGAATGGGCCACAATACCGCAGAGCAACATTCGGGCAGGGTGTGACTGTTTCATTGGCCGTTTGAAGGCCATAATTCGTGCCAAAGGTGACCAATTCGAATAAATCTAAACTTATTCTAAAATTTGATGCTATGTCCGAAATTTTCTGCTTTCATTCAATAAAATTTAAAAAAATTAAAAATTATGGCGTTTGACTTTGTTACAGTTTTTTTATCTTGCCCTTTATATTCCTTACTATCCAGATAATCCCGATAAACCCTTGATTGATAGGCACTCTATAACAGAATAAATGCAGCAGTCTTATTATTTGCCAAATCAGTAGTGGCAACTCGTCTATCTTTTTGAAATACTATCATTCATACAATATACGAAGTGCATACATTTTTTTTAATTAAAAAAATAAAGTTGTTCGAGGGTTTCAAAGAATTAATTTTTTTAGGCCACGTTCCGAGTAAAATTCAAAATTATAATTCTCTTTATTCTAATATTCGCGTTGTGCTCGCCATTTATTACAATATGATCAAACGCTGTGCGTACATTTCGAAGAAGGAAATACTTATTTTTAAGTTCGAAAGTTAAATATTGTATGTTCCTTAACCAAACCACCTATTATTTTAACCAAGTAACAAAACATTAAATCCGAAGCGAAGCATTTTTGTTCGAATATATTTCTCTGGGAATAAATGTTTTGGGAGATTTTGTACATTACACATATAAGGCCCAAATAACAACCATATAAAGGACTTATTTGATTCATCTGGGCCAATTGTTTATTACTTTGTGAAACCCAAGAAATAGAACGACGATATACAAACACACTCATGCAAAAATTGTACATTTAAAAGTAAGTAAACAAATAAAAAATAAAACAAAATAAAAATATCAATATATGTCAGCACATTAAAAATATATACATACGTTTATTTACAAATAATAATAATAATAATAATAATAAAAATAATGATGCCTATTAATAATAGTCAATTTTAAATTAAGTCTTAAGTAATATTAAATAAATTCATTCGATTTTAGTTGCCGATTTTCTTTCTCTATGAGATCCCTCGCTGAACTTATAGTTCATTGTTAAATTATTTACAAAAGGTTGGTTAGGTTATTGAAATATTATGGACTAATAATTTTGTTTGTTGTATGCGGGTGATTTTATGATGGGGGAAGGGGGTTAGGTAATTAAATATTTCCGATAAGCCGATTAAGAAAACGTTTTGAGAATTGCACTTGCATGTTATGGGATTTCAAAGGAAATGAGCAGCTAAAAATGAGCATGGTTTAAAAAATGATTATTTGATATAAATAAAAATAAGAATTAAAAATAAAAGTTTACTTGAAAATAAAACATTTTTAACAATTAAAATACTTTGGTTGTATTTGAAGTGTATTAAGTACTCACCGTACTGCATTATTGCTCAAAGGCGCCACAGGCATTAGGGTGGGTAAATTGTTTTCCACGGATTGTTGACAATTTTTCGAGGGTTCCTGTATGGTGCTTTGGTGCCACAGATAACTGATAGGGGAGCTGGCGGGGCTGCAAGATTCAGCCAAATTCATGGCATTACTGGCGGCATTCTCTGGTTTCAGTTCATACGCCCCAGTCAAAATCTCCACACTTTCACCCAAACGCAAACGGAGATCTTCAATTTCGTTTTGTAACATTTCAATTTCTTGAGATTTTTCTTCAAACATTTACGCGCATTTTCACGGATTTCTTCGGCCTCGGCTTCCAAATCGGCATATTGTTGTTCGAGCATGTCTTTTTCTTCGATTGGAGAAAGACGGCCGTCCTTACTGAATTGTTCCTCATATTCACGGACCTTTTCCATTAGCTCAGTGAATTTTTTATCACTTTCCTGTTGTTCTTCTTCGTAGATTTGTCGCTCCTTTTCGAAGAGGGCTCTTTCTTCTGTCAATTTGGCTTGCCAGTAGTCTTCGCAGTCTTCGTAGGCTTTCTGCATCTGTTCTAAGCTAGCCTCCAACTCACGACAGCGTTCTTCTGGTGTGGGTGACGATGACTCTGTGCCATCTCCACTAGCCTTCTGTGTTGCTAATTCTTTAGCCATCTTAAGTTCGTCCTCTAAATCTCTAATGCGTTTACGCAGACTTTCTATTTCTTCGTGGGCCTTTTTCAACGTTTTGGTTTGTTGTGAATTCTGCAATTCAGAATTTAATGCCATCCATTCGCCACTGGTATCACTGTTTTCACTACCGGTGTGAGTTTCATCATTCGCACATTTTCTTAATTTACCCAAACGAGGACTTTCCTCGATTAGCCTAGTTTTTGTAGGCGAATCGCCACGACGTTTGGTAGCTGTGTTTCCGGAATTAGAGTCGCTTTCTTCTTGGTTAGATACGGTAGCTTCTTCTGGTGATGCCAGTGATTTTTTGCTTTTAATTTTCATTTTATTCAACTCATGATGCAAAGACTCAACTTCGGCCATAAGTTCATCATTTTTATCGCGTAAATTACAGTTCTCTAACTGTAGTTTTGAGATTTTGTCTACCAAAGTTAAAACTTCCTCATCTGCCATACTCTTGTCATGTGACTCACGATACTGGCCTGCATGTTTCTTTTCGTCCATATCGGTTAGTTCACGTTGTAGTTCGATATTTTTCTCCAACAATTCGGTGATTTGTTTTTGCATTTTATGCTGTTCAGATTCCAAATCTTCATTTTCTTTGCGAACTAATTCCAATTCGGTTTTAAATCTAATTTCATCTTGTTCGAATGATTTTATGCGAGCCTCCAAACGTGAATTCAGATTACACCAGTTTTCTCGGTCACTAGCCAATCGCGCAGTAAGGTCTCTAACAACACCGGCATGTTTTTGTTCCAATAGACGTATCTGCGAATCAAGTTGCAAAGCAAGATAATTAGTAACCGATTATATTTATAAATTCGATATTTTTATAAATTCGAGAAAAAAAAGACTTACTTCTTTTTTGGTAGCATCTTCAAGAGAGGCATGCCTCTCATCAATTTCTACCGCCAATAAAGCAATACGCCGGTTTGCATCTTTATTGTCTGACCTGAGTTTGGAATTCTCATCATGCAGTTGCTTGGAAGTTTGTCTTAAGTTCGTCAACTCCACCGACTGCAAGGCCAAACAGGCCTTCATCAATGCCTGCTGAGGTTCTTCGTCCAAATTTGGTATTTCTTCTTCCATCACTTTATTCAATTGGGCCAATTGATTTCATCACTGTCAAAGCCCAAGGCCAACAAAATTCCACGGCCGTTGGGAATATTGGAACGTTCCCATAAATCCAATATGGTATTTACTGGTAGTGTTTCCATTAAACCAGGAGTATCTAGAGGTAATTTAAAAAAGTTATAATATGTTTACTAATAATAAGAGATTTATTGCTATATTATCTAGTAACCGGAACCTTTAGTACGGAAGAGAGGATTGCAATATAAAATCTACATGGAGATATGTTCCACATTTTTGTATTTAACTTATAGTTGAAAATAATATCAAAAGAAAACAAAAAGACAAACTAAAAGTGATTTCGTTAAAGGTGTAGAAATGGAAGTTAGAAAGACAGATATAGGATTGTGCTAGAACTGACTCTACAAAAACACTAAATAGTAGGTGCTTCTTATAAGATGTTTTTTTTGTTTTGTTTTATATGTATGTTACTACAACTATTTGATTAGAGACCACTCTAGAAAGAGCGTGCAGTTTATACCACCAGCCGTTTTTAATGCTTGTTTTGTATTTGGATTTTTTGTTTATGTTTCTTTAATCTTATTGCCACTAAGTCAATTCAAAACAAACCTTTAGCCAAATGTCCGGTATTTAAATGAGCTTTGCTTAACTCCCATTCATAGGAACTCCAAACAGCGTGCATGGCAGATGAAAGATTTTTCAAACCTAAATTATTTTACGTTTTTTTTTTAATTGTGAATTTGAAAAGTGAAAGAAGTCAGTATTTTTGCTATCCAAATATTACACATATCAAATACAAGTTAAAGCATTACTTGAAGAATATATAAGATACATTGATGTCTGTGAGGACATTGCGGAGACGACTGACAGAACAAAAGCTATACAATCGCGACGAAAGGCTTGGCAGAGAATATATTTCAATAGGTTATGACAATGACACATAGACAAACCAATTTGTGAAAATTGGCCAATTTTAATGATTTGAGTTTGAGTTTATTAGCTTAGCTGCTTCTGCTGTTGCAACACACAACATATGTACACTGGCAATTGCTGGAGACAACAACAGTGGTCGGAAGAAAAGAAGCTAGATTGTGCAGTAAATGTATGGATTGAATTAAAGCGTAATGAGGGCATACTTAGGGAAAGCCAATGACGGTTTTGATGATTGCATACAGATGACAGAATACTACACAAAATCAAAAACAATAATTGTAATTGAAAGTTTTGTTCATCTGAATCTAGGATTTTCAAAAGTATTATAAAGAAGTACCCCCCTCCCTCCCTCTCTTACAATTAAATCCAGAAATCCTATTCTTGGAGCAATTCTTGATGAATGTATTTCCCAGTTTCGTTAATAAGGAATTTGTATGAGTAATGAAAACAAAAGCTCTAGAAGATGATGTTTGCTGAGGTTAAAGAAAGCACTGACATGTTATGAAAGAAATTCAATTCGAAAATAAAACTGCCTCAGTTAAATCATAATTTGTTTCAAATAATACTTACCAAGAGATTCAACGCTACTGCTAAGTGGTTTCTTTGCTAGCTGTATTAAAGAATCGTTACCAATTTTTGCTTTGTTTTGGAATTTCGTCTTATTCTGGTTGAATAGATTCCTTTGCGCCGGCAACGAAGCACAACGTTTTAGTTTGGTTTCAGTAACGCCAACGGTCTGACGTCGTCTAGTACCAGGTATATCGGTTTGTGAAGTAGATCTCTGGACTTGCTGTGTTATACAGCCACGATGTGAGCTGGAGTCTTTTTCTTCTGTGGAATCTTCTGAGTCCGAAGCACTGGCATCTCCAGTTTTTGAATTATGTGGCCTAGATCGACGTCCATATTTCTTAGTACCCATCACCAGTTTTGGAGAAACTTCGCGATCTGAAGACTCTGGCGGGCTATCCATAAAAGTTTCTTCCTGATCCAGTTGTGTTGTGGGTTTTCAGATATAACTAACGATCGCTCTATAATTAAAAAATATATTAGTTGATAGATAGTTTATGGGAGCAAATTTCCTTCTTACGTAAATATCTAGCCAAATCATCCATTGTTGGATCAATGTATGCTTTGGCCTTTCGATAAAAGAAATGTGTGCCCATTTCGCTAGGTGTGTACGCTTTGAAAGCAATTTTGGCAATATTGTCTGACTTTGTCACAATATGTCTTGAAGACTACTGATGACAAATTTGGAACTACAATGCTTATTTAAATACTATCTCTCCTCTAGCAATCTACAAACAATCAGGTAGAATGTTAAGGCACTAGAACCTTTGCCGAATTAAAAATTCCCAATATGTATGCTAAGCCAACAACTGCTTATGATGTCAATTACCTGAATCCATAGCAAAAGGAAAGTATAAGAAATGCTATAAAAGTCAGGTGTTTCCAATGTCGAAAACATCTAGGTATTACTTGGGTAAGCCAAAGCACTTAAAACTGTTTGCGAAGTACAAAACAATTTGCAAATATATCCTTTAAATGTTCTTTTAGAACATATGGTTTCGTAGGTATGATCATTGTCAACAACATGCGTTATTTTACAACCAAACAACGATATTAAAATTACGACAATAAAAATATTCAATAACAAATTACAATCTTCTTTCTAACCGAAACTGCTCAGGTATGCTAAAAATATATGAAACTTATTTACCAAAAAGAGGATTTGTTCTAAATAATCAAAGTCTATAGCCAAACAAAATTTAACAAACCAGGATGAAGTAGAAACGTCACTGATGCTTTTGAATTAATCTACATAGAGGTTTTTTTTAACATTAAACATATTCGTTTAGCATCGATGTAACTGAATTCACTTTATTTATATACATATTTAAATATTTCGAAATAGTCGAGCTTAATTCAATTGCTGTTTAATAAAATAAAAAGTATTACAGGAAGACCATGGTTTAGGAAAGAGCTATCCGTTGTCATCAGTTTTTTTTTTTTTTTTTTAAAGGGTAAAAATGGATTACAATCAATGAACGCCACCCTATTCTCTAACATACTTTATTTTTATATGAGCTCGAATGTGTATTTTACTTGATATGGGTTTCTAGACCTATTTTGCTTTAAAAAAATTCTGTTCAATACAATTTTAACCAACATTTTCTCCTAATATTGTAGTAGAACAATGCGTACGAAATGGATACCAGCCATAAAAAACAATTACTTCTTTCATGTAGATGTGGCTCTTAATCATGTCATTCTTATTCAACTACAATTTGCTGTTAAAATGTCTAATGAATTCTAATATTTTGTGAATAATTTTAAAAATATCCTAAGATTGTTGTGACATGTATACACTTAGTAAGCTATATGATTTTCATAAGTTTTTTTATTATTCTTAGTACACAAAATTATTGTATAATATTTTATTCTGGTGCTAAACCTTTAATATTAGTAAATGGGAAATTAGGTATATTTGGAAATAATAAATTAAATAATAGAAAAAGATTTATAAATTATTATTTCAACGGGGCCGTGTTTGTTTATCATCGTTCATTGTAATACAACAATAATTTAAAACGTAAGATTGATTGCACTGAAATTATTATAAAGCCATTATTTAGATATCGCCAGCAACAATCGAAAAGTGCGATAATAGCTTTATAACCTATTTATAAAGAATAGTCTTTATTGATAAGTTATTTATGTAAATGTATTCGAGGATAAAAGTAACAAGCCAAATACGCGTGGGGATCGAGCCGTTGTTAGGAAACTGCCAATATGAACTCTAAATTGGAGTTGACAACAACAAAGAAGTAATAGTCGCAAATCCGTTGGACATGCAACTAGGCCTAATTCTACCATTTCAGAGTTATACATCTTTTCAAAATATCACATAAAGTAGACAAACCAAAACATAAAACTGTAGTGACAATCATGCTGACGACTTCATTGGAAAAGGGACTATACAAAGGAGAAGGCAAATGTATTTATTGGACGCAATTACAAATCTATGGCTACAGTTACATTAGGGGTGTAACAAAATATGTACCGATATATCCCAGCTTTAAATTGCTTGTAAACAAAAAGACACATTTGGGTAAAACTTCAGATCTATATAAATTGGACCAAATTCAGACTGCTGTCATTTCTAAGCCACTCGTCCGACAGCTCATTTTATTGTTTACAAGCGTACAAAAGCATTTTGGTAAAAGCATTAAGAAAAAAAGTTATTCGTGATGGAATTCAAGCATGATAGTGTGACTTCTTTATATTTGGCTGGAAAACCACAAGTGGCTATCGTTAGAACACTCCAGCATTTAAATGTGAATAACAGCAACATCAGCAGAAATGGTTCGAAAAGTAAAGAAGCCACTTGATCGTTGATTGTTGCAGTTTTTTTATCTCACCCTGTATAATTAATCCTGGCCAAGATTAAAAAGTTTATAATGTGGAAAATCGAAATGGACCGATCCACATACAATGGTTGAGGGTGCATCTACAAATTATTTATTTATTTATTTGAATTAATTTGTGCAATACAGGGCCTTTTAAACCATAAAATCATATTACATGCTAGCAAAACGTGAGTAACACTTATAAAACAATTAAAAACTTTTTACAACTGTAAATTATTTTACTCTTCGTTGGCTCCCCAACCATAATTATATAAAAAAACAACAAAAAATATACAATAAACAATAACTAAAAAAAACTGCAATACAACATTAAGGTCTGAAACATTAGAAATATGGCTATTCAAAGATTATAAATGTAAATTAAAGTTAAGCTAAAAAGAAGCAAGATAAGTAAAAACTGTCTTCCTAAAAACATTATTAGAATGTTAAAATGTTCTCAGTTGATAATGTAATGGATCCTAATTCCGCGCAATTCGAACTATAAACGATCACGCATTAACATCTCTATAAATCCTTGGTATAATTATTTGAGGATTCCTTGTTGAATGAATGAGAAAACACAAAAATTCTGTGTAGAGATATTGGTTTGCGACATTTAATAATATTTAAAAAAAAATCAACAAGAATTCTATAAGAAACAAAATCATTAAAATAATATCCCAGAAAACGTTTAACATAACTAGATATAGGATTCCTTCGGCGGACGTTATAAACAAATGCAGCCTTCCAAACCATATAGTGTTTAGACACCAGCACAGCATTGGCTAATATTTTTTAATACGAAGAGGCATATACACAACTCAAGAATTTGATGACACTATGCTGGTCTATTTCATCAGTTCTCAATAGCCTATTCGTATTTGGAGTTCACACCGACAACTTATATTAGCAAATTATGTAAATGAAAAATACGATAATAAATAGGTAACTTGTTCTTCTTACTAGTCTATACACCTTCATTGTTCCTTTGTTTTCTAGTTCATCTCGCCAAAGTCAGTATTATTTTTTGACTTTTCGATTAAATTACAAATCTTCACACCGTTGCATGACTTGTATACATGTATCATATTGCAGAAGTTATTAATAATGGGACGTAGTATTCCTTACACCCAGCCAACTAACACACATACTAATAACCCTTATGAGCATGTTAACAGCTAAGCAAATGTCAATCGATTACTAGCATGTGTAAGACTAATTGATTCTATATATAGACAATGTATTCAAATGGCAATCAATTTCACAAACAGAGAAACATATCTAAAAAGCACAAATTCTAGGTGGGTATGTTATGCGAAATACATTTTGCATATTTGTTAATTGATCTAATTATATCGTACAGCGCATAAGGAGGTATTTACAAACAAAATAAACTCCTCCTAGTCTTATCTTTGTCAGTTGATAGTGTTTATCGATTTGACGTAATACTTGAGACAGTGAAAGTCTAAGAGTTTCGTGGACGAAGGAATCGCAAAAATTGAACTGATACAATCCGACTTACCACGACATTTCCATCGTTGGCTTCGACGACCGCTTTGTCGGTTGACTTACTTTGCTCGCTCGTTGTTAAGCTGCTCCCACCACCACCACCATCCAGCTCTGTGCCCAGAAGTTTAGCAATGCTTCTTTAAAATTCTCAAATGTAACGTGTGAGGTGCGTCCCTCGGCTGCCAAATTGTCAATTAGCACCTTCCTTTGTCTCTTAGTTCTAGGAGGCCACAAAGCCTCCTTAAGGACTGTTCATCCAGATAGCCACATTGTTGGCTATCACAACTGTTAAACATTTGGAACAATTTCAGTTCATAGGGGTCTTGAGAAAATTCCATGTTTGTTCGTCTTTGCTTTCTTTTTGTTTCTTTCTTATTAGCTGGAAATCAGAACTCAGCCTTATGCTGTCACTGTCGACAATGTTTCTCCCCAATGCTCTGCTCCCGGTTGAGTTTGCAAGACCCCCACATGCAACGACTACGATTTGTTTGATTGTTTGGTATTTGGAGACAAAAAGACGACCACCACCACATAAAAAACTCGATATTTTTTCAATTCGCAATACTTTTCACGTTTTCTTTTCTTATTTGATTAGCATTTACTATTACACTTAGAAAATGGAGTTGATAGCACCACCGTTTTAACTTGCGAACGATTTTAATTAGTTAAAGAATAAAAAACTAGATATTATAATTAAATTTTCTTCGTGCGATTTGTTTTCTCTGGGGTGATTTAATTCTTCTTCTTGATAAGCGACACTCTACTTGAAATGATAACAGAATGTAAATGAAAAGAGAATAAAAAATATAGGGGGGATTTTCATCTCATAAAGCGTTATTATTTGAGAACATCATATGAAAAGATATAAATATATGTATGTATTGTTGTTTTTTAATCAATTTTAAAGCATGGTTTAATTTCTTTAAACCATTGTTTTAATAACTGGCATTGTGAATAGCATGGGAGAAAATTAAAATAAAAAAATATAACGACGTCTGGTGATAATTGCTGCTTGAGTGTCGTATGAGAGTTTTTGTATAATTTACATCAGTAGCTTATAATCTTAAAATGTTAATTTTTTTCTTGCATTCACACCTAAAAGGGTCGATTCGAAGAAAACTATACAATTATTCTCAAACTTTATGCAATTTTCTTGCATGTGCAAAGCCAAGATATATAAACAATGCAATTTCTTTAAATTCTCGGAAGCTTTTATATATCTATTGTCTTTGTGTTTGCATTTATGTTTTGCTTTTTTGTCTTACTGCTAAAAAGTGTCAAACTACAAAGTTAGAAATAATCTTTCTCAGTTCAGTGCCAAGTGGATATTTTTTCACCTGAAATTATTCCAAAAAAAACGTCGGCACTACCGGTGGGGATCTTTAAATAAAATTGCCGTCAGTAAACTTCCCTAGTATATATCAGGACTACAATTTGTCTAAATCTGTTCTTGCGTCATTATTAAAATGTTTCTATTTGTATTGACAGTTAATACAACAACAAGTTTCTATGTTTTTGCTGTTGTTGTTATTCCTGTCATCCTTCATGCATTCTGGAAGTTTTCAATCAATTGATGATAGTCGGTCCTTCTGCAAGATAAATGCTTCTTTCCTACTTTTCGAGCACTGTTTTTTAGTGTTTTAGCGACGTAATCATTTTTCAGTGAATGACAAGAGAACGCCGTCAAACATCGTCGGGAAAATGACGCTTTGTCGCCGCCATGGCAACAAATCGGCTACGCTTTCATACATTCTTACTTCACACATCATTTGTGAGATGAGGAAAATATTCTTTTCTTCTTAATTTTTGAGTTTTTTGTTTAATTAATGGTAATTGTTGTTGGTTTAATCCGAATGCATTGAATGCAGTGTATAAAACGTATTTGAGTTTAAGGCCTGTTCCGAAGGGCGCCAGGTGAACTGAAAATAATCAACAAGAAAACGTACGAACGAGTTGGTTGTGGAGTCTCGAAAAAATCGACAATTCTGTCGCGGCTGACGCGGGGTTATTTACATCCCAAATAAGTGGAAACTGACAACATTGCATTTGTTTATAAGGTGGTGCAACTTATTCTGTCAGTGGAGGAAGGGACCGTTGCAAAAAGTGTGGAACGGGAGTCTTTGATTGCGGACCATGAATTCATACATGAGACAGTCATCTGTGTCCGCCGATCAGATGCACAGTTTTCTCAAGGACAAACAAGCATGGGAAAACGCCATCGCTTTGTATCAGGGTCCGGATCCATTGGACCATTGGTGGAATTATATTTGTTGGTATGAAAATCATGGCCATGGTGATCCCGATAATAAATTTCGTGAAACGCTGGAGAGGTGCCTAACGCTGTACGAGCACAGTGATTACTACAAACAGGATTTGAGAATGGTGCGCTTATGGTTAAAATACATCGATATGCAAAACAATCCATTGCATTTCTATCAAGTGCTCCATCAGCGTGGAGTCGGCAAACAAGCAGCTTGCTTTTATATCGGTTGGGCTACATACTATGAGTCGATCAATAGCTTCAAAGAGGCTGAAGCAGTTTACAACTTGGCCTTTCAAGAAAAGGCGCAACCATATGCAGACTTGCATCACGCCCATAGCAAATTGATGTACACCAAATCGGTACATGCCCAGCAACTGCTTCAACAACAACAACATCCTGCCTATGTTCACCAAAATCCACCAACAAATGTTTCGGTTGGTCTCCATGTCCAACAGCAAACACAGCCCCATCAAGTACAACAATATCGTCAGCAAGTTTCCTATCAGCAGGCAACAACCGTTCCCAACCCAACTATGGCATCGCAACCGTCAGTATCTCATCCGCAGCAGGCACATTCTTCGGGAGGACATCAGCAAACCATCAAGTTTACCATCAACAACAGGTCCATAACCATTATACATCTACAGTGCAGCAGCAAGTTCATGTAAGGCGAATCAGCAGCAGCAACAGCAAGTCCATGTCCAATCATCCACAACAACCGCCACATTCGATGTCAACAGCTGTCCACCAAGCACAACCGCAAACTGTCAATGCGACACAAATATCACATCATGTGTACAATGTTCAACAGACAGCAACCCACCAGGCAACGCCGAACCTGAGGTCTGTGCCGGTAGAGCAACAGTTACCGCTGCCACTACCAATATGACACGCCAACAATATGAACGGGCGTTAGAGGCTTCAACAAAAAACCAAAACACAACAACAACAACATGCACACAACCATCAACAACAGCTGCAACCAGCAGCTCTTCCATCCAGGTTCCCGGTCTAGATGCAAATATAAAATTCCCAGCATATTGTCGTAACAATCATGAAACGTGGCAACCTGCCCTCTTCTGGAAGAACCAGATGATCCTCAAAAAATATGTTATTATGCTAAAAGTACGGTATATCCTCAAGGTCAAGGCGTTGAGTATAGCCCGGAAGAGATTAGAGCGAGGCGATATAAACAAAAATTGCAGAACTGAAACAAAAGCAACAGCAACTTATGACAGAAGTACAACAGAAAATCAAACACATCAGCTACAAACACAAGCTCAAGCCCAACAAAGTCATGTCCAAGTACAAGAGATAGGTTCCTTAAAGAGCGAACTACCCATCATCATCAGCAGCAGCAGCAACAAGCGACTACGCAACACTATTACGTTCAACAACAGCAACATGTACAACATAATAACATTTATTATCAATCACAGATTCAGCAACAGCAAATTAATCAAATTCATCACAAGACGAATCATGTGGCCACTAATTATCAAGCTGGATACCTTCAACAACAACAGCAGCCACAACAAATACTACAGCTTCCACAGAAGATGATGAAGAAGATGAAGTTGAAGAATATGCTGGAGCCGATACAGAGGGTCAGGAAGACGACAATCCCGATACAGAGGAGGAAGACCAACAGCATCAACAATATCAACAAAGACAATACTATCATCACCAGCATCAACAACAACTCCACTATCAAAATAACGCTGTTAATACCCAAGATGATTTGGAAGACCAAATCGAAGCTTCTACGATACGTTTTAGTATGCATACGCCTAGCCAGGGATCTCAAAATAAAACGCTTAAAATCAAATTCAAAAAAGAAAGACCCAGCACCGGCACCGAGACTCCTAATGGTAATAATAATAGCTATAGTGCTTACACAATTGAGAGAATATATCATCAGCCAGAGGTAAGAACCTTGACTTTTCTATTATTCTTCTTTTTTCTCATATATTTCGTCTTTCAGATTGACTCGCCAACATTGCCTGAAAATGCATTGAAACGCAACAATGGAAACAACCACAGTTTCCATCCATATATTCTGGGCCAAACTTCAACGCCAAAGACTTCCGCTAAGCGACAAAAATCATCGAAATTAAAGAAAGTTCTAATAATTGTCACGTTTTGGCTTGCCATAATAGTAATTCATCATCCGCCGAAAATGGCCATGTAAACGCACTCAATGCTAGCAATAACAATAACAGTTTATCCAAGATCTTCGGATAACAACAACAAATCTCATCTTAATGCCACATTCAATGATAATGCCAACTATTCATTCTCAAGTGCAGCCGCTTTGGACAACTCAAATTGTTCTCTGTCCAATGCTGTGGGTCGTCTCAATTTCCGTGATGCCTCAGCGCTAATAATACCACACTGAATCAAAGTAATGCCGTTGATATATCCACGTATCAAGAGAATTCCTATTTCTCTACCCAACATGATGTTGAGGCAAAAGAACGACGTTTGGCTAAAGCATTAGAGACTATTGAACGTCATATGGCCAAAGAAGCTATCGACCCTTTAGCAGTGAGTTGTGTAGGCTTTTCTTACAAAGCTCGATTTCCCGGAACGGAAAGCGAGGCCATGATAATTACAAGATTATACAAACACCACTACCAAAAATCGCCAATACACGACAACTGACATTAGGCGATGGCAGGCAATTTATATCGATAAAGAG